CAAAAAAGCTGACGGCCCACCTGATGGAAAGTGGTAACCGTCGCCTATAGACATGAGAAGTACCATGGACATAACAGAGTATACTGTTTCGCCCATGATACCCCCCATGCGTTGCCATTCCTGAGGACTCAGGTGTTATTCCTCTGTACCCAGTAAATTCACGCCATATCCCACCCTTTCAAACCGAAACACAGCCATGCAAAAATGCTAACTGACCCACCTCTTCATCTCACCTATTATCTATCACTGGTGCTCTACCAGTGTATTTGTACCGTCAGTGCAGGCGGGTTACCATTTGATTGTCATCCATTAGAAAAAAATACTTTTATTACTTATTAGTTATTGTTAGGTACTTATGTCACACCAAGATTTAGGTAGTTGTTTCGTGAAGTAGACAAACATTTTAGTTATAAAAAAAGGTAAAAAAGAATTCGTAATTTGTTTAATATCAATAAATACTCTATCTTTTATTGATATATTTTATTGATGATTATTTTCTCAAACTTGTAGTTATTTGCGCATAGGTATAAAGCTACGCCCATATTCTGCGGTGGGCGTTAGACTATTCTTGATTGGCCCGGCCCACGTGGCCGCCATCTTGTATATGCCATTATTTCTCTTTCTCTCTCTAAAATTTTATTTTATACTTTATTCTCTCGATAAGTTTACTTATATAGTGCAACAAAATATGCATTTCATTAATAGATTAATAGATAGGTATAGGATGGTATTTATTTACAGGTGCTTTAATTATGTATCTACTAATGTGTCTTATTTTTTCGAAAAGCGCAGTTTTGAAATTTATTAGATACTAGTGATCCGGCTGATGGTTTCGATGGGTAGATAGAATTTTCGAAAATAATGTTTATATAGCACACATATTCGCTGATTTTTCAGAGAGAGAGAGAGACAGAGTTTTTCATTTGGTTCGCGAATAACATCTAGAAACGATAACCATCCATCTTTTACTAACTCGGTAGTGAACTGTATCCTTTTATTTATTAAATTGATGTAAGTCAAAAAATTGGGTAACATTTCTCTATCTATAATAACAAACACATCGGCCACATAACGAAACCAAAACCTAGGTTTATTTTCAGCGCTGCTTGTCGCCTTTACCACGAACCATTCCATATATATGTTTGCTACAACAAGTGTTGTTCAATACAGAATACAAAAATTTTATATTAAAATAAATTGTTTAAAGTTTTTGTTCTGGTAATGTTTGTTTTTTTTATTATATATAAAATTATATTTTGCCAGTGGCAATTATTGCATTTTTTGTCAATTAACAAGTCTACACATGAAATGTCGTCTGCTATAAATTGTTGGTTCTATAAACTACTATATTAAATTAAATACAAGCCTTTTGTATACCAGGTGCTATAGGTGAACCCATGACTACTCCATCTATCCGTAACTAGTAATCCCCTGGGGGAAAGGGATTGTTGGCAATGGAGTTTGACAGCCCCATTGCTAGTAATATGCCCTATTAGGTCGACCTCCACGTGGTTCCCCCCGGAAACCATCGTGAAAAATTTTTGTTGAATTCGTCAGGATGGGCTAACTGACCTGCTTCATCCTCACCAATCATCCTTCACTGGTGCCCCGCGCGTGTATACCGATAACGCAGATGTGGTTACCATTCCATTATCACCTATAAAAAAAAGGAGTAATCCCCCTGCCACAGGAAATACCCACTCTTTAGGTAAAATACAGAATGTGTGGTGTGAAGTTTTGTTAAAACCGCTCGACGCTTTCTAAAGGTACAGCGCTACTAGAATATAGTTAGTAGACAACTGACAGAAATACTTTTTTAAAGGCATTAAGTATGAGATTGTTTATTACTTACATTTATATATATATATATTCTTTATTGCACTTAAACAATACATGCGACGATTGTTAGCAAGGGAGGACTTATCTCTGAAAAAGATCTCTTCCAGCCAACCCAGTGTAGTTAAAGAGAAAATAATTTAATTTGGGTAATCCAGTGCAGGAAAGGCACCGGTGAAAATAATGTAAATATAACAAACACAAATTGTGAATAAATATATATATAAATAAATTTATTATTATTATTTATATTTACTTATCACCAGAGAGAGACTTTGTACAAAAGTCGTTTGCTTGGACACCTCTGTCCTATTCGTATTTCAATCGTGAAGCAGTTATGTTTGCATGGTTGTGTTTCGGTTTGAAGGGTGGGATATATCAGCGAATTTACAGGGTACAGAGGAATAATACCTGAGTCCTCAGGAATGGCAACGCATGGTATGGTATGGTATCATGGGCGTAACAATATACTCTATTATGTCCATGTTAGGTAGGTACTGCTCATGTCTATAGGCGACGGTTACCACTTTCCACCACGTGGGCCGACAGCTTGTTTGCCATTCTCAGTTGCATAAAAAAAGTCGGGACTCCTATTATAATATATTTGGTGCATTATTAATTTCAGAAATATTCATCAAAAAAAAAAAAAACTAAAATGTACTATTTACAAAATCGATATTCAAATAATATCATATACCTATACTGTTTTGTCTAAACTAGTTTGGCGATACGCTTAAATTATTGTAAACAAACCACCTCTTGTCCCTAACGCCAAGAATGTATACAATGCGCCATAAAACTAATGAAATATGAGACCCACTTAAGTGTCAATTGAAAAGGGACTTCTTTTGGTCCATGTTTATAAACAAGTGCTGTATAAAAAAAAAATTACCTATTACATAAGCCATTTTCTTTTTATTTTGTCAAGTATATAATATTGTACAAAAAAACATATAATTTTACATCCAGCGAGGTCTTAGTTTTTTAATAATTGAAAAATAAAAGATAAGTTATAGGTGACCCCATTTTATTTCTCACAGAACAGTTGCAATACAATTCAAAGTAGAGTGTAGTGTAAGAAATTACATAAAGAAATCTAGTTGAAATTAAAACCGAATCTGAATTTTGTATAATTCGAATTAAATTTCGGGAAATCAAGTTTTTTAAACCTATACCTTAAAAATACCTAGTCTGTGTAAAGTCCGCTCACGGAACGCCACAGATATGGATCGTCCATTATTATCGTTTTACAAGCCTTCAATAACAAAAAACACCTTTTACAGGCTAATATAACAAAATATATTAAAATGCGGCTTATTAAAACCTATATCTGGAGTATAGCTTTGTATGGATGTGAGACGTGGACATTAACTCAGAAGGAAATGGATAAACTTAGAGCCTTTGAAATGTGGTGCTGGAGAAAGATGGAGAAAATTAGCTGGAGGGATCGAATTGGCAATGAGGAGGTCCTGCTTAGGGTTAAGGAAAAAAGACAAATTAAAAATAATTAGAAAGTAAGATAGAAGGAAGGAGGGGAAGAAGGAGACCGAGACATAGTAACATCAGGCAGATCAAGGAAGGAGTTGGTGTCGTGTCGTATCAAGAGGTGAAGAGACATGCTTATAATCGTAGTGAGTGGCAAGAGCTCCACCGACAAGAGCACAGCTCTTAAATAGATAGATAGATAGAAACAAAATCGTTCAGAATCAAAACATATACTAATATCATAGTTTTATCAAATTCATTAAATATATAATATAAATTTTAATCTGCGATAAAATTCATTACTACTGAAACGGATAGACATATAATCGTACCCTTTCTTTCATTATTTTTCCTAGTCAGGAGATAAATTTAAATTCTTCCCGCTTACGTATAAAAAGTATCATTCAATTCATCGTTTATCTGTGGTAATAAATTGAGTGTCCGATTAAATAGATTTTTCTTTTTAAAGTTAATTAAGTAATCATATTTTCACGATAAAGCTTTTATATTTTATTACTAACTTTTATCATAAAATTATATCTTATAATCAATGAATTTCTATTAATTTATATACCACAAAGCGCCCTCTTTACTTACAAATATAGAATATGTTTCCAACTTCCTATACTTCTGTAAAATTTGACAGAGAAATAATTAATTTTAAGTCTTAATTGTATGCCTATAAGTTCACTAAATCCTACTCAAAATTTATTAAATATTATAATTTATAAATTTTGTAATATATATGTTTTTCATATGATAATAGTAGTTTTATTAAATCAGATCAATTATGACACACAATTCTGAACATCGATTTAACAATGCATTATTATCAAACATCATAAATTATTACTAAATGGACGTTGATTTAGTATTAATTTTACTAGATTGTTTTCTAGCTTTATAATTTTTTCTATAAACATTAAAATATTAATTACCTATTTCAATTTATTGCAAGTTCAACACCTCTCCACAAGATGGTGTTAAATATATTTTTACACATATGACGAATCATTACAGGTCCACCTGATGGAATGAGTAGGTACCATGAACGTAACAGAGTATACTATTTCGCCCATGATACCCCCCATGCGTTGCCATTCCTGAGGACTCAGGTGTTATTCCTCTGTACCCTGTAAATTTACGTTATATCCTACCCTATGAATCCCGGGGAGAAAGGGATTGTTAGTAATTGAGACTGAAAATCCCATTACTAGCAATATACCCAACCAGGTCGACCTCCTCGCGGTTCTCCCTGGAAGCTATCATGGTTAATTCCAGATGAATTCATCATGATGGGCTAACTGGCCTGTTTTCATTCTCATCTATCACCCTTCACTGGTGCTCCGCCAGCGTATACCGTTAGCGCAGGTGGAATTACCATTCCATTTTCATCCATCAAAAGTGACCCTATGAATCCCGATGTCAACTAATCATATACGCGGTATCGACACTCGTCGGTTGTAAATACGCTGTATTGTTTTGTGGCGATTTTATGGTTTTTTATATGTCAAATAAAACCTATTTTTTTTATGGGTGAAAATGGTATAGTAGCCCCTTATATATATGGTAATGTAACCTAATGGTATAGTAACAATCCCTTTCCCCCTGTGACGGTTCGCCTATAGTACAATAGGTTTAATATCATATAAGTACATAGAAAAGAAACAGGGGTTCCTATGGGTGGCCGCTGCGAAAGCTGAGCTATTTAATATAAACAAACTTTAAAGTCAAGGTTCACAATAGTATACAGAGAAGACGTTACCATATATGAAATATTGACACAGAAGGGAAACTCCTTTGATGTGTTTCCAAAGTGTAGTGGACGTCACAAGAAAATTAAATAAATTAAACAAAAATATATTATATTTTATATTAACCAAATTATAGTTTACCTTTTTCTCATCAGGTGTAAAAAGGATGCATACAACACAGTTTAATAAGGTTTATGAGGGCCTTTAAAGTTTTATAAATTCGATAATCAATTTAATAGAAAATACCAAAATACGTTAACATATAATTAAATTGAATTTAAAGAAAAGTTCAGTTCGAATAATAGGCTAAATCCGATTATTGAAATATCTACCCTTCGGTGACATAATCTATGACGTTACTAGGTGAGGAAAAAAAAAAAAAAAGGACGGTAAATGGCGCGGGAGTCGTGTTTTAGGGATTGCGCAATAAAATAAAAAAAATAACTGGGATATAGATCTAGGAGGGACTGGATCGATGAAGGGGTTTGAGATCTTAGTGTATCACTATCGATTAAGTGTGTGAAATTAATCAATAGAAGACTGGAGAATGCGGTGAGCTTGTTCCATTTATTACTACGTAGTTAGATTTTTGACTGTGATCACAGGCAAAGTCTATACTTAATATTTTTCCCAAAAACTATTAAAATACGTATTTAGTCGAGTCCATATACCTTTAGGTAATGCGTATATCGTTAAATGCAATCACATTTGAACAAAATTTACATCAATATAATTTACGTACTTACGTTATTCTACTCATATACAAAATCCAATTATATGGTCGTTTGATAGAACTTCATCAATTTGATTCAATGTTCTAATTGTCCAGTTTTGGAAAATACTTATTGAATCAACTATTGAACTATTACAATACTAACTAGTTTCATATCTAGTTATTATAAAGTATTTATTTATTGAGGATAATAGACTAAAGTGACTATGGTCTGGTCTCATTGCTGGGGAAACAGCCATTGATGAGAGAGAGGGGTTATTGAGTGGCGACCCTGTAAATGCAAGTGCGGTGTGGGCTACCTCCATTGTTTGGAGTGACTGTTTTATGTGTATTGTGGGGCCGTTCCTTGTGTCAGTCGGTGGAAATTGCCTGTGTTCAGTCGTGGGTTGGTGATGGTTGAGACGATGATGATGATGAAATATTTGTATTTATTACACAATTACAGTGTTGGTTTGGAATATCTGTTCATACTTAACGCTTCATGGTGAAGTGTTTTTATACCATTACTCAGTCGACCAGATTAATGATTCTTAGTCTATATTTGATTATCCATGACTACATGTGGGGATTTGTTTTACACCAGATGTACAAAGAGACAGCTTAACTGTTGCAAGTGATATTATGTGAATGTAATACTTTTAATACATTATTAATTGTGTTACTAAATAAATTCATGTGACTGTGGGGTGTTTATGGTAAACAAGCCTGTATTGTTTAAATAGATATTTTGTCTTGATTTATTATAAACTTTAATATTGATTTTGTTGTAGTAAGCAAGCTGATAATAACAATTCTGTGTGTATTACTGATTACTAATAATATTTAATTATGCTGATATTATAGGTGTGGATTTATTTCCTAATGGTAATAAAAGTACTGAAAGATTCTCTGACTATAGTTGCTCTTGACTAGGTGTGGGGTTCGGTATGGAATTGGTACTGTATGACACTTGTGAGGCTATGTATTTTGCTCATATTTAGAAAGGAAGTTGTCCTGGCGATGGGGTTTGTATGTATGTTGTTTGTTCATGTTATATTGACTAGACAAGTTCGGACAGGGTTAATATTAGTGAATATTTACTGGATTTATATTTAATATACATGTTTTGAATATTTTATGGGAATAGTATGGAGATATACAAGTAGTAAAATATAATATTAGTATTTTATAAATTTAATTATTGAGTTATATGTTTATGTCGGACTGTATCCAAGGAGATATTATCCTATTAATATCAAGTTAGGACAATTACTTTAAATATTAATAAAGCAAACACTAACACTGATTATTCACTTCTTTAATAAATTTACATTAGAGGTTAGGAATCAAATAGATAGCATATTGGGAAATCTTCACCACTCATGTATTTGAGGAATGTTCTTGATAATTAGTACTGTATGTATATATTATTGCAAGTACAATTGCAATAAGAATGTTAAACTTCTAATCTTCTGTTCATTCTTGAATTTGAAAGTAAGCTTGGCTACTGATATGAATATAAAACTGCAGCATTACTGGATACTATTAATTATTTCTGGTGTAAACCATGATTATTTATGTCACTGATAATTTAGTTGTATATTACGGTTGATATATGATGATTTTATATTTAATTATATTAAACAAATACAAATAAACAAACTTGCTAGTATTTGTTACGTTGACAGTTGTGATAGATAATCAAAATTCAATTCAATACATCAATACGTCATTCAATACGTCATTAATGTGACAGATGTCAAACAAAAGGAGATTATACACGTTATGATTCTATATCTAAGTCTATAGAAAATTTATATAATTTTCTGTTATTTTATAATAACTGTAGGGGAAATATTGGAATTATTTATATGAGAAATTTCACTTAAATGATATGATAATTATTTAAAGACCTAATTTCTTAGGGATTTAATCATGATGATTTAAACACTAAAACACTTGTTTATCTGAGAAATCCTCTTAGTAAATAGGTTTACTAAGACACTAAAAGGAAGTAGATATAGTATAACTATAGTACAGCTACAATAATTGTATGGGACTTACTGTCCTTTCTATACAAATATATATTTAATATATATCTTTTACATTATAATTATTCAATATACATCTACTACTCAACATACACAAATAGGACTTATTGTCCTTCCTATATACCTATATATAATAATTGACCTGGCACTTTAATGTGTAATTTATCAGTACTTACGTCAACAACCAATTAGGACTTATAGTCCTCTCTATAAAGCTACATAATTTATTAATCTGATTATTTCACAATGTGATTAATCAAACCTCTACAAATATTACAAAAGATCTCTATTACTCTCAACACAATAATAGCTTGTTGGACTTAGTGTCCTCAAACTTATAGAAAACCCAACTGGTTATTTTACGAGACGTTGTTAACTTGTGATTAATCAGTGTCTTTTAAAGGACTTATAGTTCCTTTAGATATATCTCTCTGAATAAATAATTGGTTAATTCACAATGTGGATAATCAACAATAATATTATACATAATTGACTGGACTTATAGTTCATTCAATAGCACTCATTACTTTTAGTAGCTCTCGACCTATGGGTTGGACTACTCGTTCTTAGGCTCCGGCCTAATCAACAGATTTAACTTGAACCTTGAGTATTCTTGGTATTAAGTAAATAATATTAAATTGACAATGCTATGTTATGATATAGCAATTATCAACATTATATGGCTTGGCCAATTCCAGGGTGTGGAAGGTATCCCCTATCACACAAATCTTCATTTCTATCGGACTGTCTTCACAGGTGATCTCTAATGTCACATTATAGGGCCGAAGGGTTATGTCCCATCAAAGTAGGTTCTGGTGTCTGGGTGATCTCGCTTCTTGGTCTGATCTCTTGTGGAGCCGAAGGGAAACCCCCATTGAGTAAGCTCGTAACAGGGTGATGCTGGGAAACAGTTTCGTACTGTTAGTGGGTGATCTCTATTTCGCCATATAGGACTGAAAGGGTCATCGCCCATGAGTAAGCTCTCGTGTCGGAGTGATCCTGGGATTTCAGTTCCGATCCTTTTGCCTCTGGCAAACATTAATTTATACTGGAAGCATCGTGGGGCTGGTGGAGCCACTGTAATATTGAAGTAAATGTACTTATGTTTGGTTTGGAACTGAGAATACTCATTCCCTTATTACCATCAGAGTGCATTAATAAATAGTAATACCCATCCCTACCTTTCAGGAGGAAGAGTTATAGATAGTTGGAAAGTCTTCCACTGGTCCGGGCGTGTGAGGGGCCCGACCGCTCCCCCATTTTTTTATTATTACAGTTATTCTGTAATTTATTATTAAATTAACATAACTTCCTTGTTACATGAATTATGAGTATAATTCATTAATTATTCTTAATCCTTAAAGATTTATCAATCATCTTCATTATTTAACTCCTATCATATACCAATTAAAGAACCTTTTGGTTATTACACACACAACGGGTCCTACATTACTAGACGATCACACATTTATTTATCTGGCCAGATGATCAAGTGTTCTACTATAAGATCTGTTCAATATTAAGTGTTTATTGTAAGGGTTTATATGATTCATAGGATGTTTGGGGTGTATAAGGCAATATAGATATGGGGTTATATTGAGGGTGTTAGGCCATTCTTTAGGGTAAGTTTTCATTAGATTTTCATAGATTTCATTAGGTTAAGCCTACGTAGGCTTTTCTTAGGCTTTGTAGGTTTTCCATGTGTAGATTAGTTTAGAGGGTAGTTATTATAAGGGGTGCAAAGGGGGGACCATCACACCCCCAAATAAAACCTATTAGGTACACGGAATTATTGTTTGTTAGTAACGCGAATTTGCAGTTGCACTATCCCCGATTATTATTAGCTTGTTTATTTTTCTAAGACGCGTAGAATGTAAATAATACAATTACACAAAACGTTAATGTTATTTTGTTTGTAACCCATTTACTATTTAAGCGTTATCATCAAATTAGTAAATAATTACTATAATTGAATATAATTGTTACAGTCATTAGTTACAATAGCTAATGAGAAATAGATCCCTTCAGAACACCTTTTTCAAAAGACCCCCATTATTGTCAATATCTTAACACCTTTCACTAATTATCTATTTTTCAATATTTTGAATGTATATAAGGGACTGTAGCTATGAAACCAATATCATTTGCCAATAGTATCTTGTGAGGAGTGTACTAGTGTTCGTTTATTAAATTAATAAATATACCTAGTTATCACGATTATAATATATAATATTAAATAATAAAATTTGTGAGTGGCGACTGTATTTGAGTGTGCATATCAATTTCTATTTGACATTAATTTTTATTTCTTCCTCCATTTGGAAAAGTCGATAACGCAAGTTGACGGTTGAAGTTACATAAGGTAATTATACTCTTAGAATTAATTATACTCATTAGCAATTTATAGCAATTTTGATCATTTTTCATGAAATAGTTGTGTTCTGCATTATAATCATTCACGGAATAATAGTTATCACATTCATAGTACAGATGAAAATCAGTGTGTGTGTGGGGGGGGGGGGGGATCGACCTAAATATCTGTTATGTACCTACGTGAAGACATACCTATATGGCATGTAAGTTGTGGGTTTTTTTTTTATTGGATGAAAATGGAATGGTAACCCCGCCTGCGCTAATGGAGTACGCTGGCAGGGTACCAGTGAAGGGTGATCGATGAGGATGAAAACAGGCCAGTTAGCCCATCATGATGAATTCATCTGAAATTAATCATGATAGTTTCCAGGGGGAACCGCGAGGAGGTCGACCTATTTGGGTATATTGCTAGCAATAGGATTCTTAGTCTCCATTACTAACAATCCCTTTCCCCCAAATAAAACCTATTAGGTACACGGAATTATTGTTTGTTAGTAACGCGAATTTGCAGTTGCACTATCCCCGATTATTATTAGCTTGTTTATTTTTCTAAGACGCGTAGAATGTAAATAATACAATTACACAAAACGTTAATGTTATTTTGTTTGGGACCCATTTACTATTTAAGCGTTATCATCAAATTAGTAAATAATTACTATAATTGAATATAATTGTTACAGTCATTAGTTACAATAGCTAATGAGAAATAGATCCCTTCAGAACTCCTTTTTCAAAAGACCCCTATTATTGTCAATATCTTAAACACCTTTCACTAATTATCTATTTTTCAATATTTTGAATGTATATAAGGGACTGTAGCTGTGAAACCAATATCATTTGCCAATAGTATCTTGTGAGGAGTGTACTAGTGTTCGTTTATTAAATTAATAAATATACCTAGTTATCACGATTATAATATATAATATTAAATAATAAAATTTGTGAGTGCGATTGTCTTTAAGTGTGCATATCAATTTCTATTTGACATTAATTTTTATTTCTTCCTCCATTTGGGAAAGTCGATAACGCAAGTTGACGGTTGAAGTTCCATAAGGTAATTATACTCTTAGAATTAATAATATTAGAATTATAGCAATTTTGATCATTTTTCATGAAATAGTTGTGTTCTGCATTATAATCATTCACGGAATAATAGTTATCACATTCATAGTACAGATGAAAATCAGTGGGGGGGGGGGGCGACCTAAATATCTGTTATGTACCTACGTGAAGATATATCTATATGGCCTTAAGTTATGGGTTGATTAGATTGGTAGCCAGGCCTCAATGCTTGTTGCATCGATGGTAGCCGTCATTGAGCTACATGCCTATTTATTTTTAGTAATTGACTTCTTATTTTGTTGTGAAGAGCAATGGAGGGAACGATCACACCGGAGAGCCGGCACCATTCTCAAGCAGCCCTGGGCAATATCACCGCTCGAATGGATCGGCTCCGGGTCGCAATCTCACAGTCGATCATGCTAATTAGGGAACGCTCGTCAGCTCTGCCGTCCAGCTACCTTCGTTCGACGTCCTTGCCTGATAAGATAATTATGCAACAAAAAGGTAAGCAAATTTGTGATGAACAAAAAAAATTTGCTCTAACTATAACTGATTCATATATCAAATTATAAACTAATTTATAGACCTACTAGTTTTTTTTATATGTAACTTTAAAAAGTCTAGTCTACTGCTGTGTTTAACTGTTGTGTTGGTTCTATACTAATGATATCAAGAATAAGTATATTGTTTATATTTGTTTTAATCCCGTATGATCCCGGCATAGAATAGGCTAGGCCCCTTCTTTACCCGTGGCTCTCGTAAGAGGTAACTAAAGGAAGACGAGGGATGAGCGGCAGCGTCCGTCTTAAATTTCTCCAAAGCCTAACTGTGGTTACCAATTCGCCTGCCAACTACTGGCAAAACTTCCCCAGGGGGAGACTTATGTTCAGCAGTAGACAGTTAAAAGCTGATATGATGAGGATGACTTGTTTTTATATGTTTCAATGTGATTGTTTCTCATTTTGTTGTTATATACTATCGTTATATATGACAATTGTGTAATTAACTTTCTCTTAATTCAGATCATGAATGTCTTGCTACCTCGAGGTCGCCGGATATTGAATTGAAAACAAACTCCACAAACTACTCAATTGTTCGAACACCGCAGAAAAACTCGAGCTGCCTTTCTCCGCCGAAATTAGAAGTCAATTCACATGTCCGAAAACGCTTACTGTTCGGGGACTCCGAAAGAATACTTTTGACACCAGAGAAGATAGATTTCAGTGATATTAGCACACTGCAAAAATTCGAAATAAGCAGTCCCATTAAATCAACACCGCCAATTAAAAAAACAAGGCTAGAGAAAACAATAGATAATAATGGACCTTTTGATGTGGCATTGAAAGGTTTAAGTCCTAATCAACTGATTGATATAATTACATCTGTCACTTACAAACATCCAGAGATCGAATACGAGATCAGAAAAGACATGCCGGTTCCGGATTTGTCGCCGTTCAAGCAGAGGCTTCTATATTTAAAATCAAATATTTATAAAGGGCTCCGAACATTGCGGTCGGCTTCTAAAACCGATTTGTTGGCTTACTCGCGTACTTCTACTCACCTAGCAGCTTTTAAGAAGTGTTTAGTGGAACAGGGAAAAGTCTTAGTGGAGTCTCAACACTGGGAGTCTGTTATTAAATATGTTTTACTAGCCTGGAAATACGTCAGAGCTACACCTGTGTGGGATCATCAGGCACATAATGCCTGTAGGAAGCAGTGCTTCGAAGCGCTAATTGCTTTTTGCATAATGGCTCTCAAGAAGGGACATTTAGAGAAGGATGTATTAATTTACACCAAAGATAAGCTGCAAGACATGGTTGCAGACAGCGAAGACATCCTATCATGTATAAAGATAATTAAAGAAAAGTTGTCGGATTTGTGAATACCTTAATAGTTATTAATTAATACCTTAATGTCTAAAGGAGTGATTTTTTATATTTTATTTTTATTATTATTTGTATTTTTTTAATTTGTACGTATCAATTTATTGTCATAGTAATAGATAGTAGGAATAAAGGCCTTGTATTACTATGCATTTGATGTAATACTTATATTAGTTTTGTTTCAATGTACATGTAAAAATATATATTACGAGAGTTACTATTAAAATTAGGCAAGACTGATATAAAATAAAATATTTTAATAAAATAAAAATGAACTAAAATTAAGAGTCACCTATGAAGGTATTTTTGGCTAGCTAAATCACGACAATTGTAATATTTAAGATTTGTATATTTATGTAAATATGTCAAATTATAATCTAAAGGTTCTCAAAGAGAACACAATGATGTAATATAAACATTAGAGTATAAATAAACATTAAAGAATAAATATTTATATATTATTATATGCTTTGCTTTTTATTGAATAATCTTGAAAATAGAAGATAAAAAAAGATACCCGAGACACCAGGAATATATCATTAATTTTTAAGACCCCTCACTAAAAAGCTCTTTTAGAAAGTATATATTTCATATCATTAATGTGGCAGTGTCTGTGATATCTGTCAATTTTAGAAAAAATAATATAGAATAAAATAATTAAATAATTTCTACTCTTCCTTATTTAAAATGTGTTTTAATAGCAAATTAAAATATTAACGATAGAACATGCAGATAAATCTACCACAAGATAATTTATCACTACTTCAATTCAGTTGTAGATTACAAGCCCATGGAAAAAATACCTGTGAAATGACCCAACGTGAATAACGCTTATAAGGTTGTTACTATACCAGAAAATAACTCTGAGCACTATGCCGTCATTTCTGAGCGGTACACGTGAGTACCTGAGTAAATGGAATTTCCCAGGTACGAGTGGGGAAATACTACTAATTATTGTATGTACGGCTTTCTTATAGTTTATAGACGATTAAAAATAAATGTCAAAAAACCTAGTGCTGTACTAAAGTGGTGGTCCCAGAAGTCAGTGCAAATTTTTAATTCGCCGACAATTGAAGAAGCAAAATAGGTCATTTATTACTGTACGGCATTTGTGTAATTCCTTTTGTATACATACACAGATACTTTACCTATGAACGCCTTACATATTTCCAGCGCAGGAGTCGAAAACCAAGGATCGCAACCTTTTCCCTACACCCATATGATAGAAGGTCATTATAAATTATACGGCATTTTGTTTAAAATATTATTTAACACGGACAATAATGTTTAATAATTATATCGTCCAAAAATTATTGTCAATATTTGTATAAATAAATAATTATCTAAATTTGAGGATTTACCGAGTTATTAGGGCTGTAAGATCATAAACTCATGTACGGCAACTTTTTTTTTTGTTATAATGTTACTAAATATTACCGTTGTAATTTATAGCCGTTCATTATAAATGGTATCAAATAAAAATATTAGGATAAAATATGAATTTTCCGAGATTTATAAGATATTTCAAATGTTCATGAGTTACTCCTCATTTTTTTAAAGATTATTGTTATTTTACATGTGACAAGTATAAATAAACAAAAAAAAAACTGATTCCGTACATTTTACTTCATATTATATTATTCTTTACAGCTAATAAAAACTTCGATAACGTTTAAGATGTTCCTTAAGGTCATTTTGTTTGTAATATTAAATAATAATAAAAAATTATAATACAGTACATTTTAAGTGACACATTACGTATGATACCTAATAAACTATTATTTTCAGCATTCAAGCTTTTGAAAAATAAAATAAATAAATTTAAATTATAATTATGATTTATTTATATGAGATGCTTGTACACTAGTTTATCTTAAAAAAGAGATCTTCTAACAATAATATTTCATTCAGAGTTCAGTTAATAACAAAGGAAAAATTAAATTCAGAATCTTCAGAAGTTTCCGATGAATTCGATGAAAAAAGACTCCTAGTACGTTACTAGTACGGCGGGAACGAGTGGAAAATACATTCCAAGAATACGGAAAATACACTAAAGGTAACTTATTCCACGACGAGGATGACAGGAAAAATATCGCGGATATAGAAAGTAAATATTTTCAAATTATAAGTATAATCTAAGATATTGGGTGAAAAGCTCAAGCGATCTCGCCACACGGTGCTTACTCAAGCTTGCAGATGAGCATTCGGATCACCTATTGCTAATAAATACAGGGCGACCAATATTAACCTTTTTTTCGATTTCGAGCAATATCAACATTTCAGATAATGATTTTTTATCCTTTGGCTTGCTTTATTAACAATGGGAGATTGAGAATCCCATTGCTAGCAATATATCCAACCAGGTCGACCTCCTCGCGGTTCCCCCTGGAAACTATCGAGATTAATTCCTGATGAATTCATCATGATGGGCTAACTGACCTGCCTTTTTATTCTCACCTATTATCCCTCACTGATGCCTCGCCAGTGTATACCGTTAGCTCAGGCAGGGTTACCATTCCATTATCATCCTTTAAAAAAACCCTACCTTTTAATGTAATACAACACGTACTTGTCAGAGCTCTTATCTCCATAGTATTTATCTAACTTTCATGCTTCTTCTTTCATAACCACGATTCGCTTCCATACATGAATATTGGTACTCGGTACTCTCTAAATTATGGTAAGGCGAGCTATGCTCGATATATTTTTGTTAGCCATGATTGAGAGCAGTGTACAGTTAACACTATTTCCCGCTAAGGATATTAAAAAATAATCGATTTTTATTTAAATCAATTATTATTTTCTTATAATCGATTTTGTATAATCGATTTCATAGTAATATTAATTGATCTTTAATATATCGATTATATAAATTACGCGTTTAAGTCGATCTATGCAACAAACAGCGTCATCTATGCGACGGATGAAAAAAAAAACTTGAAGTAAGTTTCTATTTTATTTTTTCAACGAGATTAAAAATTAATGCAAATAGTTATTTTGCGTCTTTTTATTCTTTAAACTTTCAGAATAACGAATGATTTGTTTTATATTTGAGTTTTTGAGACCATAACGTAGTTGTTTGGTTTTTTCTTAATTTTCGTTTTAAATATTTTATTTTAAAACTAATCAAATGTCAAATTGGATTGGACATTTGTGATAATAATTATTTTTTATTTTTTTATTGACTACGACGTAGTCATTTAGTTTTTTAATTATCGTTTTAAATATTTTATTTTAAAACTAGTCGAATGTAAACCAGTACTGGACATTTATAGTATTTTTTTTTTTAATTAATTTATATTTTAATTTTTAAGACAATAAGGTTGACATTTTGTTGGGATACTCATCATTTCATCTTTATTATAATAAAACGTTTAATGGTACTGAAAATTTGTATCAATAATGATATTTTGTTTCCTTATCCCTAACCTTGAAATTTAGCTTAATTTAGAAAGAAACATTAGCTTCGATTTCTAGTTTTGGGTTGGTTATTTTTTTATTTATATCATTTTATTTGATTTTTAATCTGATAAATTGTCAATATGAATCTCTTAGGGGTATTATTGAAATATGAAAAGCATGTAGATTTTTAAATAATAGAAAAAATCAATTTTTTACAGATATCAATTAATCATTTTAAATAAAATCGATTGTTGCAAAATCGATTAATATTAAATAAAGAAAAATCGATTTATATTTAATCGACTCTTTTCCATTAATCTTACATCTCTATCCCACTTTCACTACTTTTAGTACAGCGTAGGTGCTGCTAGGCGCACACGGACATTGAGCTGTGTAATTTTTTTCTATTTGATAATAATTTTTACATTGAAGTTCTAAATTTATTATTGAAAGTATAACTAGTTGCTTAGTGTTTCACTGGAGGTAAAGTAAGTATGATTAACTATCTAAAATAAGATATAATATTCATAATATAAGGCTCGGTATTTTCCGACAAATTGTCTTAAGTTATCATATATTTCTGAACGATGTTTTATTAGTGATTAACAACCTACTACCATTTGAGTTGGATATTTTTTAGTGTTATTAATCGGTATCTGATATTTGTTGTGCTCTGGAATTAAATCTAACCTTAAAATTTTGTATGTATAACTACGTAAACAGCTTACGCTTAGCGCCATCTGTATAATTTTATTTCAACCTGCTTTTTTGCAACTTTCTGCTTACAGCTTGACGAAATATTGATGAATAACCGATATTGATAGAAATTACGTAGTTATCTACATAGAGGCGGTAATTTTAACTTTACGCTTGCTTCTTTACATTTTTCATTATGTCACATTTGCTTTCTGTTTCTAATAAATGTGCTGATTGTAATAAACCACTGATTATTACAAAATCATATCGCTCAAATTTGGCTAAGGCGCATTGATTTGCACATGTGTGTGTAGCACACATGCGCAAACGTTACCACTTTTCTATCAGGTGGGCCGTCAGCTTGTTTGCCATTCTAAGTTGTATAAAAAAAACGCAAGAAAACGTGTAGCGGAATTGAGTATAGATAATATATGAAAAAAATTTGATACTTGTATTATTTTAATTAATAATGTGATATTTTTTTTTTCTATTTAACTGAGTAATGCAAACGACTTCTTGGATTTTTATAACATGTCGTTAGATTCGTCTTAATTAACAAAGTGTTGATAATGACCAGAGGGTTGACGTCATAATTTAAATACAACAGTCGGATACATTATTGCCATATTGACTTTGCCCGCGTGGTATTCTTTATGCCTGTTTATTATATATTATTTAATGCCAAGCCTGTCGATGTTACAATCTATAGCTTTAGATAATTTGACAGTCACACTTATTAAATTTTCCTTGTTTTCATTACTGTTTTTGGTACGTTTTTTATCTCTATATCGGCCTTTTTCCTTCCGCGTTTCACATCTTCTATTTTCCCTTCCAAAATAGTTATAAATCTTTGACTTTTATAGCCTGTTGTTATAGTTGTTTTAATTTGTCTTTCAACTCATAATTTTACTTAGCAAGGAAGGTTAATAAGGTATTCTCGATATTATTATTTGATTATTTAATTTCCATCACAGCAGAGTAATTTTTTGTTCTCCTCTTGCTAAGTAGCCTAATTAGATGCTAGTAGAACTACAATTTAAAATATATATATACTTTTTACAAAATTAAAGTTTTAGTTCTCCATCTGAGCACTTTTTAATTCAATTCAATTCAATTCAATTTATTTTATTCGTTACAATATTGCATATTTAATTATTCATTCAGTATGGATTTCTTTTATATTTATAGGTACAAATTACATATTTTAAATATAAAAATAAGCGTGACACATTGACACAAGGGCATTATCTCTCAATTCCAATAAAATGTATGTAAATGATTTTTTTTTTGTGTACTAGTATGAGTAGTGTTGCTTAGACTTTTTTGATGTGTATATATACCAAACTAGTTGAATCTTGCGGATTCACCCTTGTTCGTATCGTGATGCTGATTAACCTATACTTAAGAAATGAGTTACCAAATGCAAAAACAATTTTTCAAAACCGACTGCCAATTTCATAGAATAAACGCGTTCAAACAAAAAAAAAACTATAATGTCACTGTATTATATTAGTATTATGTAACGGGGGAAAGGGAATGTTAGTAATGTCTAATTGACCCATTGCTAGCAATACGCCCTGTCAGGTTGACCTTTATGCGGTTCCCCCTGGAATTTGTCCTGATGGGCTAACTGACCTGAGGGCCTACCATGAAATGTTTTCCGAAATTTCGGAGCCAAATGAAACAGAAATTTGATGTTAAAATTACATAATACATGCCGTTTGGAAATATTAAAAATGTTAAAATATTGTTCCTTTTGACTTTTATGATAGGATGTATGACGAAAGAAATGTTAAACTCCATTTATTGGTCCGATTTTGGTATAAACAAAAACACGAAATCGAGTCCGAAATTTCGGAATTTCATTTCATGGTAGACCCGCTGCTTTCATCGTCACTGATCATCTATCACTGGTGCGATGCCAACGTATACCGATAGCGCAGGCGGATTACCATTGCATTATCACCCATTAAAAAAAAAGCATACGAAAGACTGTGTTTTAAACAGATTGTTTTTAGTCATGTTACTTCGTTAAAAAGTTTGAAAAGCAAATATTAACAGTTAGAGATGATGTGGTAATTTCAAGAGAAAGATTTAATTCTAAGCAAACTAGCTGAAAGTAGAAGTAAATTGCCGAATGAATATAGACGTTTTGTAGGTAGGAAACGCAGCTATAGGCAATATTGTACTGTGCCACCCATGCAATTTACTGACAGTTAAGTTCCCACTGCTGGTCACTGACAGTAGACTGTCTATAAGAGGATATTTGTTAGGAGTACTAATTTAGTCATGACGCATTTTACGAGTTTTGGCGTAATATACCGTATTATCTGTCAGTCTCTTCTTATTTACGTATCTCCCTAGTGTAAAGGAAGGCAAATTTTTTTCAAATTACACTGGATAAATCACACAGACGCAGCGCCACCCATTCAGGGTAAATAGTAAGTAGTGGGCTACTAATAGGAATAGGTAGTTTTTTTAGGTAAAGACATGCACCTAAGCATTTAGTAAAAGATTATTTATTATTTAAATATGCCGAGTATAAAATACAAATTAACTAGGTGATTATTTTGTAATGTTGTTTCGGTTGTCTCGTTATCATGTAATTACTGTACAACTCCAGAGTATGGAGACATATTTATTTTTATAACTTACGTATCACCATTTGAATGCAATTATAGTCATTAGTTGAATTAGCTAATGAGCTATGAATCCCTCCAGTCCGCCCTTTACTAAACACGCCCATTATTGTCATTGTCCTAATGGCTCCATGTACTCATTCACCTTCCACTAATTGTCTATTTTTCGATATTTCAAGGTACGAGTATAAAAGGGTCTGTACCTGTGACAGTAAAGTCATTCGGAAGTAGTAACTAGCGAGGAGTGTACGTTTGGTTTCTAGTGTTCGTTTATTATTTTAAATATTATCTACTGATATCGCAATAATAATAACAATATTTGTGAGCAGTGACTGTGTTTGAGTGCGCGTATTAATTTCTATTTGACAATAATTTTTTTCTCTTCCCCCGTTTGGGAAAATCATTATCGCGGTGACGATAGTACGATAGAAACAGTTGAGATTCCTTAAGGTTAATACTCTTAGAATTATTTATACTATTAAGTATTATTGCAATTTTTAAGTATCGACTGAGTTATTGGATGTGACCTTTTATTAAGAGTTTAAAATAGATTACGTTCAATTGCTTGCTTTTGTACATATTCGAAAACTTTCTCAATTTTATTCTTAGCAATTGACTTCTTATTTTGTTGTGAAGAGCAATGGAGAGAGCGAAGACACCAGAGGACAAGGGCCAAGTTCGCGAAACACTGGACGAGATCTCCACACGCGCAGATCGCTTCCCTTCTGAGGCCTCGTTGCCGCTCGTGGATGCAAGAGATTGCGAGCCATCTTCGACGTCCAGCCATCAGAGCCGGGCCTCCTCGCCCTGCAATGAAACAGTTAACCAGCAGAGTGAGCGGATTTATGATGAACAAAAGAAATAAATTTTGCCTCTTGCCATATCTGATTCATATAACAAATTATAAACTAGTTTATGGACCTCCTAGACTTTTTAAGCTGTAACTGTTGTTGTTTTTGGAGGTTCCTTTTTATAAAATCTCAAAACATAGTATGTTAGTTAAAACATCGTTCTTAAACTTTACAAATACTCGATTATTTCAGATTTTTCTATATTTAAACTTATAAAAAGGTAGACAATATTTGTTCATATTTTCTATCATGAGTCGGAAACTATATAGCATGAAAATAAGTAGAATCCGTTTTAAAATGTACAAACAATGCCATCCTACATTGACTAGAAAGCTAAATTTAAATTTTGTACCTCCCAGCAATTGTTTGTTTATTATTATTAAGTATTTACATTTCAACATTATGTAGACCAACAACAACAAAAACAATTCCAAAATACAAATAAGTAGCATTTGTAGTCCCCGTGACATTATGTTGCGACAGATAAACTTACGAAGTCGAACCACAAATTCTTTTGTTCTTTTATTGCACCAAACACTAAAAGTAATCTACTGTATATGAAATGATTTTTTGCCAGATAGAAACTGACATAATTCAATAGTAACATTTTAAATGTGTTGTTTATTTTATTATTTTTTAACTGAAATGGTTTAGGTACTGCTGTGTTGGTCCCACACGAATATTATCAAGAATAAATTAATTGTTTATATTTGCGTTAGATTTTCCAGTATAATTAATCATTCCTCATTTTATTGTTAATGCCTATTGTTGTATTATATGGCAATTGTTGTATAATTAACATTCTTTGAATTCAGATCGTGAATGTCTTCATGTCTCGAGGTCGCCGGAAAATGAATTAAAAAAAAAAACCATGACTATCGATGACTTTAAATTACTTGGGTGGACTGCACTTCTTCCACCGCCACCAACAAACTCGGGTGGTCTTTCTTCCCCGAATTTAGAAGCCACTTCACAATCTAGCATACGAAAACGCATGCAGCTTGAGCACTTCGAAACAATACCTTTGATACCAGAGGTGACAGACTTCAGTGATACTAACAGATCGCAAAATATTAGCACAAGTTGTCCAATTGAATCAATATCGCCAAATAAAAGGCGAAGGCTGGAGGAAACATTGAAATATAATAGAACTCTAGATGTTGCCCTGAAAGATTTAAGTCAAAATCAACTGATTGATATAATTAAATCTATCATTGACAAACATCCAGACATCGAAGACGAGGTCAGAAAAAAATTGCCAGTCCAAGACTTGATGTCGCTCCAGAAAGGACTTCTTTATTTAAAAATGAATATTTTAAAAATATTGTCAAAACCGGGAATACGTTTTGAAGACGGTTCACTGGCTTTCTCTCACGCACGTATCCACTTAGAAGCTTTCAAAAATTATGTAGTGAAACAGGGAGAAGCCTTATTGGATTCTCAAAACTGGAAGTCTGTTATTGAATATGTCATATTAGCATGGAGATATGTTAGAGTTTTATCTATATGTAATCATCGGATACAAATTCCCTACAGTAAGAAGTGCTTCGAAGCGCTGTCTGATTTTTGCATGACGGCTCTCAAAAAAGGAAATTTAGAAAAGGATCTATTGATTGATACTCAAGATAAGCTACAACGCATGGTTGCCGACAGCGGAGACATCCAATTATGTATAGAGCAAATTCAAGAACAACTCTCGGATTCGTGAACATCTTAAAAGTAATATCTAATGGAGTGCTTTTTATATTTTGTTTTTGTCTGTTAATGAAAAAAATATAAATAATCTGCATTATTTCATTTGTATATACATGAGTGTATATAACAAAGCAGGGGTGTCTGCCTGGTTTTTAGACATAGCGATGCCAGTATTACTGATATCATTTAATTTGTCTTGGTTCATCCTTTGTTATGATGATCCTTTGTTATGAAATGTAGTAATTTCGAATAAACTAATTATGCTTTTCTATTTTGTTTTATTACTTCTAATGACACTTTTACCTTTCAGGCATCAGCACTGTACAGTGTCTAAGTCACTGTTGGACTGAATGTTTTATTTTTATACTCTTATAACTATCAATCAATCAAAGTCTTGTTTAGACCCGCCAGATGGTGAAGGCGGGCGAGGTAGAGGCCTCGGGGCATACTCCATTGCCCCAGCTTCCACTTCGGAGGCTACAACCTCCGGGTCTCTTGGTTTTAAGCCGGCATCCACTGGTGGTATGTGTATGTAGGCATGGCGTTCGTAGCAAAAGGAAATACAACCATTTAATTTATTTTTTATTGCGAATTAACTTTATGATTTAATGGAAAACCATTTGCCATGTTTTAGGAAAAGTACCAGTATAGAATGAAGAATTAATGATGTGAGTGATTAAGGGTACCACATGTTGAAGTAAAAGCATGATCATGAGTCAACTCACAACATCAGAGCCTATAAAGTTGGATTTGATGGACGTAATTATTGTATGAGTCTCATTGTCAGTGATTGACAGTGATGAGAAAAATTTATCAGTAGATAAGTTAGGCTAGGGGGCAATCTCGGCTAAAGTTGATGTTCTTGTCGCCTCAGATAATAGTGTAGTCGAAGAAAAATACTTATTAAGCTTATTTAATGAAATAGTTGAGACAAAATCAAGTCTATTTACAGACCTCAAGTGACTTGATAAACTTCCAAGTATTGACCGGTGAAGCATTTAATATATTGAAATTAATATAGCAGCGTTCAGCTGCTATTACTATGCGGTTACAAAGAATACACGCCTTTTTAAATGCAATCCAGTTTTCCTCGCTACGGTCCTTTTTATATTTTCGAAAGGCCCGATCGTGCTTCTTCATAACTATATGAACACCCACCCGTAGCCCCCTCTTCTTTCAGAGTGGGTGTAGTGTCTTTTCACGTATCATACTGTATTCCCCAATAGTCTTCTCTTATATATCTCCGTAGTATAAAGTGTGACCATATTTTTACTTGATTAATCGATTTTTGGTATGTTTTTATTACCACTATGACTGGAAATATTAACAAGATTGTTCACACACGGAGTAAATATAAAGTTATTTTGTACACTTTATTCCGTGGCTCCACAACACAGATAAGACAACACTAATACGTATATAGACAACAGTAAGTACCAGTACACAATCAATTAACACAAATATCTTCCACTAACAAATTTGTTTACTTTATATACTATTATATCAAGAATAGGACTAGTAAATACCACTGACTATAATACACAAATTTAGTGTAAATGTTTTAATGTATTTAAATATAATATATGCTTATTACTATAGGTCAGGTAGATCTCCACGTGATTATTTCTAGAAAATATTGTGATTAAGTCTTGTTGAACTAATCACGATGAGACATCTAATCTGCTTTCTTGCTCATTATTTCATACCTGACTGGTCATTCCATTATCGTCCTTTAATAATTCAATTTTATATACCATATTCTGCAATATTTGCACGTAAGTATTAGTCATCACTTTATATATCACTTAACGTTAATTAGTTTCTAATGGAATAATTAAAATCGTCTTTCCATAATGTTCAAATTAATTTAAATACAGGTTTTACCTGAAACTTCGTTTGCATAACTAAAATATATAAGCTGGTATAATATATTATATATTATACCAGACCAGATATTTCAGACTGAAAGTGAATAAATCAGGTCGGGAGAGAGGTTAAGATATATTGCAGTTTTACACTAAATAAAAACTGAAGAAAAAGAACATTCTTACATAATGGAATGCGGCCGGAATACGCGATGGTTAACCTATTTATAATGAGTATGGGGTCTATTGGTCTATTATGTCAAGTAAGGACTATTTTCTGCGTTCTATTTTGACGAATTATAAGTATCAATCTAGTATGTGCCTCATAGGCGCTATTTCGGATGCTTGTCATAATATTATGAGGCAAGTTTTAATATCGCAGTAATTTTTTGTATGTTTAAATAAATTTTTAGTATAAAGATAAACTGACAATTAGATAGTTTTACCTGTATACTAAAGGTATTAGTCTATCAAAACGATACCGAATTAATGGTTTTTTAATGCTTGTTTTACTTGTCTTTCGGCTATCATTTGAATGTTTAATCTATTTATATTTACAAATAAGGCAAAGAGAGAAAAAAATCGCTGTCATGATTGCGCTATACATACTTAGAATTCTATATCTATGTACATTTTTAGTTTTAGTTTCTACAACTAAGAATAGAAAACGTGATTTTCTGTCTACTGATGGTACACATAAATACAATTACGCAATTTATGTGGTTACCAGATTAGACCGGAGGGCCTACCATGAAATGTCTTCCAAAATTTTGAAGTCAAACGAAACACAAATTTGATATTAAAATTACATACTTGATACATGCTATTTAAAATTGTTAAAATATCATTCCTTTGGACTTTTACAATAGGATTTATGACAACCGAAATGTTTTATTCCATTTAGGGGATGATTTTTGTATAAATGGAAACATAAATTTGAGTCCGACAATTTGGAATTTAATTTTATAGTAGATCCCAGCTTTTGCTTCGCAATAAGCAGTTTTTTGTTCTACAAGAACAAGAAACTCGGGTTTGAGTGTCATAATTAAAATAGGATTATCATTGGAGTGAAATCTATCGAATGTAAAAAGAATTGTGAACATCGATTCAAATTTGGTGATGTCATGACGTAACCTTACACATATGTACATACATACATACATAAAATTCTGAGAAATTGAAACCTTGTTTTTTCCGGAAATTACTACTCCCGTGACTTCGTCTATATGGCCAGGAGATATTGATTAACCAGGGTCAATATAGCGTATGTGTATTCTCGATTCCAAGTACCTACTACCTATATTACGTTAATGCGCCAAAAGGTAACATCGTCATTATAATCAGTCAGTCGTTAATTGCCCACTGGTTTTGCACATTGCTTCACCAGGGGGAGACTTTGTACAAAAGTCGTTTGATTGGGCACCTCTGCCCCATTCGTGTTTCTACCGTGAAGCAGTTGTGTTTGCATAGCTGTGTTTCGGTTTGAAGGGTGGGATATATCAGTGAATTTACAGGGTGCAGAAAAATAGCACTTGAGTTCTCAGGAATGGCAATGCATGGGGGGGGGGGGGGGATCATGAGCGAAACAGTATACTCTGTTATGTCCATTATACTGCTCACGTCTATAGGCGACGGTTATTACTTTTCATCAGGTGTGCCGTCAGCTTGTTTACATAAAAAAAAACTGTTGAACATAGGCCTCTCCCTATTTGGGATTGGCAGTAGTTGTCACGCTTAGCAGACGGATTAGCCAGAGCAGGCAGGCTTTAGTAATGTTTTAAGAGGGACGCTGCTGCATCTCTGAAACCGAGCCGTATGCGACTATCTAGGCTCTAGAAGGTAGAAGGCTGTGGACTTTGATATAGCTCTGCATGAAGAATTGGGTGAATGTGGAAATTACTAAGAATAGAGATGAATCAGAGAAAACATATTACGCCGATCCCAAATATACTTTCCTTTCTTCTTTTTTTTTAAAGGCAAAATTGTAAGCACCAGTATTATTTTGTTCTCTTTAGTACAGGCGTTATTTTTTTTCTATCCATCATAGTTTGTATCACGTCCACGACTTTAATTATAATAAAACCAGTTATTTTGTTTTAAAAACTAAACTATTTAAACGAGTTTAATAAAATTTCTATGGAACCAAACTGTATCTATCTGTATTAAAAATCTACATATTATATATTTCTCTATGACAAATATTACGTGTGTATGCCAAATTTCATTTACCGCGTGGTCCCGGCATAGAATAGGTTACCCCTTTCTTTCCTAGGGTATCATAAGTGGCGACTAAGGGAGGGCGAAGAATGGGCAGAAGCGTTCCTCTTAAAACATCTCTAAAAGCCAATTCGCCTGCAAAGTATGGCAACTACTGGCAAAACCTCCTAATGTTTAGCAGTGAGCAATTAAAGGCTGATAAGATAATGCCAAATTTCTTAAAGGCGTCAAGAGGTAACAAATTAACAATCTTATTTTAACAATTATAGTATCTATTATTAAAAATAGAAAGAAGAATTAGTTGCACCGACAAGAGGAAACTCTTAAATGAAAAGAGAATCATACCAACATTCCATTAAAATTATTTTATTAATAGAAATAGAAATTTATTATTTAAAAAAACACAAAGTTACAAACACAAGATACAATGGGCCCCACACAAGACGAACCTGTATCGTGGGCATCCGACAAAAATTAACAATTCACAATCTGTTATAATAGAAAGTACATAGTAGGCGGATATTAATACAAAAGAAAAATAATATAAAATTGACATAGTGATCATTTGCTGATCAGGCAATCCTGAAATCTTTACCAATATTGTATTTTATAAATATGAAAGTGAGTTTATTTGTATATATTTTTTTGATTGGTGAAAATGGTATGGTAACCCCGCCTGCGCTAACGGGATACGCTGGCGGAGCACCAGTGAAGGGTGATAGATGAAAATTTAAACAGGTCAGTTAGCCCATCATGATGAATTTATCAGCAATTAAACATGATAATTTCCAGGGGGAACCGCGAGGATGTCGACCTGGTTGGGTATATTGCTAGCAATGGGATACTCAGTCTCCATTACTAACAATCCGTTTCCGCCCTTATTTGTATATTTGTTACCTAATACTGTTTTAATTATAATATTATATTAAATATGGCTTAACTGATTATTTTGAAGGGTATACTATATAGGACAGAAAAGGATGTAGGCTACTTTTTATCCACGAGGAATTAATAAAATTTACATTTATTTGTATAAGTCATAAAGATTACGAATAACAACACTATATATACCACAGGGGAGAAAGGATTGTTAGTAATGCGGACTACTAGTACCATTGCTAGCAATATACCGTGTCAGGTCGACCTCCACGTGGTATAGAAACAATCGTGCTATATTCC